CGGCAGGAGCGCCGCTGCGCTCCCAAGCGGCGCACTCTCCAGTGCGCCACCGGGCCGGCCCATTATTCTTATTCTAGTCATGAACTTAAGGAAACTGGAGACGAAAATATTTTAAAATTTCTCCCAAATAAAATGAGCACAGCAGTGTATTGTAATGACTAACAACCAGTCTGCTCTAGTTTGAATCCAGGTGTTGCCTCTTTGTGACTTAAATGAGCTATTCAATCCCTTTGTGCCTGAGTTCTAGCTCCTAGAAAATGGGGATGAAGCTAGTAGTACCCTCCTTGAAGGACTATTGTGGGGATTCAATGAATTAATACAAAGTGCTTAGAACAGTGCCTGACATAGAGCATGCACTCATTGTGCGATAGCTATTGTAATGAACTGCAGACCCTTGAGGGGCTCACTTTGACTGTGGTCTGCCCAACCTCTAGACCAAGCTGGGAAACGTGAGCTGAAGCTCCACAGTGTCCTCTTTCTTTCTGTAACACTGCACCATCCTTTGTAAGTGTGCTTGTTGATTTCTCTTTTATCTAATAGATTCCTTTGCTTTTTCTTTTCTTTGTGCTAACATATTTACATAGGTTCCTTGTGGTCCACCCCTACAGCCTTGGACTATAAAGGCCCATCGTGTGGGACTTTGTTCCCATGTGTTGAAACCCCTGCACGGGGCCACCTTTGCTGGTTTGAGACCAGGCTATCATGCAGTGGTGAGAGTGTGTATGTGGCTGGGCACGTGGCAGCAGATGGGAAAGAGAAAGTCATCATGAAATTCTTTACCAAGTTAAAGGAAGCTAACTGTTTTTTTCATTTTAATTCTGCAATGTCATTTGGGGGACATTTTGGTAAGACCCCCAAATTTCCAAGCTGATTTTTGTAGTCACTCATGATTTCCTCTGCTCTAATGCTAAGCCCTGATGCTAAGTAGCAGATCTTTAGAAAGGTCAGTGAGCTGTGAGAGGAAAATTCCAGGATGTGGGCCTAGGTAAACTTCGTCCACCTTGTCCCAGCACTGCAGACCCTTGAGGGCCTCACCATGTCTGTGGTCTGCAGGGCTTCTAGACATTGCGCCTGCAAGCTGAGGAGCATGAGCTGAAGCTCCACAGTGTCATCTTTCTTCCTGTAACACTGCACCATGCTTCAAGGATGGGGGTTTTGTCAGCTCTTGGCCTTCCTTTGTAGTGTGCAATAGGAATAATTCCCTAGTTTCAACCTAGATGGATGTACTTTCTTAAAATGTTGTGCTTATTTTATTTATTTCCATAGCTTTCAGAAAGGAGTATTATCGTAAACTGCCCTTCAGGTGGCATTCCTTCCCGTAGGTGGGGGCATATTTACCTTCATATGGGTTTCAACAGAAAGAAAGGAAGCTGTCCTTGATATTGTATATTAGTTCTCAGTGCCATCACCACCTTTCTGTAGTCTCCACAGTAACAGAGGGGCAAATACCTGGAAACTTCAATTCTCAGACTACCAAGCAAGCAGGTTTCCACCGAGAGTCTACACTAAGGGCATTCTAGCCTGATTTGGAAGGCTGAACACAATAGGAAACCATTATACTCCAGAGGCAGCTGTCGACAGTGAGTGAGGGTCAGTGATAGTAGACATGGGATGTTTGCCTGTGACTTTGGGGTGTCTTCCTGGAGATAGCCCACTTTGTGCTACACACAGCTGGTATCATTTGCAGTATCTCATCCTTCACTTCTGGATTTCCTGAAAGTGGTCAACCTGACATTTGCTTCTCCAGCCTTCCAAAGTCTGTGGAATCTTCTAGTCCCCCATATTAAACCTCTTTCTTCTTGAAATACTTAGTCTGGCTTCAGTTTTTTTGGTTGAACCCAAACTGATACAGAAGCTCATTGGCCTCTGAGAGAAAAAGGGATTAGAAGGTCGACAAGTCCCCACCCCAGCCCCATGAATCCTTAATTGAGCCTGACACAGAAAGACTACTGACCTTCCAGCAGAACCCAAGGGCCCAGCTTTTTTCACTCTGGGGCTCAGGGATACAGGAGCATAAGCATCTCCATCATGTGACGAGGTGACTAGATGTGACATATAAGGTGAGAAGGGGCATTTTCCCACACCCCATGGAACACCTGGATTTGGTTCTCTGAGTGTCTTGGAGGCACAACAGTGCTGAGCAAAGATATCAGTAGCCTTTGGAGGCACCAGTGCCCAGAGAAAGCTCCAGTAGCACCCTAGGGGTCTGATACAGAAGAACCAGCAATTCCCAGGGAGCACAGTCCAGAGTGAGAGGAGAGGGAAATTGATGTTGGAACAGTCAGCAGGGTTTATTCCTAAACACTAGTGAGAAACATGCGGGTACTGCAAAAAGCTAATGGAAAAGTAGAGGTTCTGCCCTATCAGGTGGGATGAGACTTTGCCAAAAACAGATGAGTACTATTAGCACGATGCCATTTGTAGCAACAGGCAGGGTTATAGTGGGTTACAAAGGTATTGTCTGATAACAGCTGTAGCTCCTCAGTGGTCACCAGAGGACTGAGCAGCATAGTAGGGCAGATGTCCTACAAGACTGTGGAAGAAAGTGAGTCCCACTTTAGAAAAATTATAAATGAGAGTTCCAATGACTGCCAAAAAGTGGGCTTAGGAGAGGACACTGTGTGGGTAGTAATACTAACAGCTAATGTTTACAGAGTGCTTACTATGTGCAAGGATTTATTCTAAGTATTTATATTTTAACTAATTTAATCCTCATGGCAGTCCTATGAGTTAGCTACTGTTTGATCATCCCACTTTTACAGATGGGAGAAGTGTAGGTAAACTTGCCTACAGTCACAGAGCCGATTGCAAACTCAGGCAGTCTGGCTTCTGACCTGGGCTCTTACCCGTACGCCGTAGTGCATGGTAAAATTTTACACATCAGTTCTTCATATTAGTGATTTTGAGAGAGAGAGTGTTAACATAGGAGAATTGGGCCAATGGTATAGTCCAATAGATTCCAAAATACTTTAGGTGGATGAGACCTTATGCTGAGACCAATGGAATAGCATTTATTCTGGGTCAAAAGGTGGTTAATTGTGGGATGATCATTAGCACGCACATCTGATTTCTTCTTTGGTGGATGGGATTAGGAGAACCCTATGCTGAATATTACAAAGCATTCCACCTTGGTTAGTGTTTTACTTTTTAAAGGTATTATCTTATGAAAAGCCTATATCTTTAAAAGAATTAATGAATAACATAGTTATGTCATTAAGCATTTAGGGTAAAATAAGATGTTCCACAGTTTTCTTATGGCATATTATAGGAAAGCACCAAGTTGTAATATAGATGAGAAAAAGGAGGAAAGGTAACATCTATGACTGGTGGAAAGGAAAAGCCCATTCTTTTTGAGAGGGGTCTGGATTTCACATGAGCAGAGAAATGTGTCTAAAGGGACATGCCCTGGACTTAGAATCAGACAAGCCAAGGTTGGTTTCAATATTTCATACTTAGAATCTGCTCTGAATTTTTTCCTTCATTTCTAAATAATGTCATGATACCTACCTATCCTATATACCTTCAAAGTTTCTTGTGAGAAATGGAATAATTATCAGTAAAAATGCTTTATAACTATACAGAATTATTGACAATTGACAGTAGCAAGAAGAATGTTGTATATCAATAAAAGGGAAGTTGAAGTGACATAAATCCCAGTTGTATCCACAACCAGATACCTGAGCATGATTTTACCTTTCCTGGAGGTTTGCTTTTGAGCCATGTTTAAATTGTCATCATTGGAAATGTCTCCCACTGTATCCTTGACATCTGCTCTAGTTGACATTTTGATCCTCTCCTTCCAGGGACTGGCATTTACCTACCAAAATAAAAGAATGCAAAAGCAAATTCAGAAAGAAACGTGTCCTATATCTTACATGACACTTTCCCAGTTCTTCTTTCTAAGAATTAGGAAGAAATGTTTGGTGGGAAAAGTGCAAGATTAAACTCCAGAAAAGCTGATTGGTCGTCACTAACCAATGTTGTGGCCTTGGAAAGGTCAGAGTTACCCTGGGTCTTACCATCTACCTCTCTAAAATGACGGAGCTGGCCTGAATTGCCTTTATAAATTATAAGGATCTTTCTAGATCTGTGTTCCCATGTGTCCAAAATGATATTAGTATCAACTGGACATGAAACCTGACAAACTTATTTAAATTTCATCTGGAAGATAGTAATGGATTAAATTACCTGAAAAACTGTCTGTTAGAAACACTTAGAAATACTAGATAAAAATATAGCAAACATCCTTTTAAATACATAGTTCCAAAGATAGTAAGAGATATCCCCGTGGACGTAATGAAAAGTTAGAGGTAGTTGCTAACTCTTCAGTGACTATGAGACTGGAGTGCAAAGGAGGCATCGATTTCAGTGATGTGGGGGCTTGAAATCCACAGCCCTGTCAAGATGAAAGATGAAACCTTAGGCCCGTGCCAGGACAGGGATTATAAGGAGGATCCTAATATAGAGCCAGAATCCTTGAAGGGGTTCAAAACTTAAAGAGGCTCTGCCCTTTGTAGCAGTGAGACAGTGAAAACTCTCTATGCTGTCTTGAGCTCAGGTTTGAAAATAAAAACCCTACCCTGAAAATTATGAAAATTTGTAACTATGTTGTGGAGAGTTGAGGGCTAGAATTCACACTGTCTTCATTGTCTGAAAACTCATCTCCGACTGAAAAACTCACTGAAAAATTGGGCACAGGCTGATTTGCTCAACACAGATCACACAGAATTACTGCAGATGAAGCTCCACTTAATATGAACTCAAGATCCAAAATTATAAGCACTCAAAGTGATTCATCTAAAGCAAGTCCTTAGACTCAACACGTAGCANATGAGACTGGAGTGCAAAGGAGGCATCGATTTCAGTGATGTGGGGGCTTGAAATCCACAGCTCTGTCAAGATGAAAGGTGAAACCTTAGGCCCATGCCAGGACGGGGATTATAAGGAGGATCCTAATATAGAGCCAGAATCCTTGAAGGGGTTCAAAACGTAAAGAGGCTCTGCCCTTTGTAGCAGTGAGACAGTGAAAACTCTCTATGCTGTCTTGAGCTCAGGTTTGAAAATAAAAACCCTACCCTGAAAATTATGAAAATTTGTAACTATGTTGTGGAGAGTTGAGGGCTAGAATTCACACTGTCTTCATTGTCTGAAAACTCATCCCCGACTGAAAAACTCACTGAAAAATTGGGCACAGGCTGATTTGCTCAACACAGATTACACAGAATTACTGCAGATGAAGCTCCACTTAATATGAACTCAAGATTCAAAATTATAAGCACTCAAAGTGATTCATCTAAAGCAAGTCCTTAGACTCAACACGTAGCAGGATTAGACTGCTGGGAACTTCCAAAAACAAAGTAAACTGATAAAGACCTTTTATAACAGACCTTAAAATAATTGAAGAAATAGAATATTGACTTATAAGGAAATACCAAAAAGAACAGGCATATTTAGGAAAGAGACTACTTGAAATACAAAAGAAAAACTTAGACATTGAAATTTGAATCTTTCACAGAATGAAAGAATTAGTGAAATAGAAGGGAAGGCTAAGCAAATTATACAGAATAAAGTTCAATGAGATAATGAGGGATGGTAGCAAAGTTAAGAACCTGGAAAATGGAGTAAAATGTCCCAAGGTTAGATCATGGAGCTTTAAACTAAAAATTGAACTGAGATCCAAACCAATACTCATGAGTGAAATAGCATATTCCGGTAACTTGGAGAAGAAACCAGTGAAGTGAAAGAATATTCTGAATATTCTGCTGTAAAAATAATTCGCTTATCATTTCTGTCCACACCTTGGGGCAATTAGTTGAGTTGAAAAGATTATATCAGTCACAAGAATTGAAGATATAGCTTTCAGGGTAACATTTTTCCCAAGGGTTATACCCGTATAGACTCTTCTGGTGTACCCATGCCAAGGAGCTCACTGACCACTAGTTCACTCATAATTCAGTAAGTATTTGTTGAATCAACGAATGGAATGTTCTGCTTCTGTTTTAGTCCATTTTGTGTTGCTATAACAGAATACCCGAGACTGAGTAATTTATAAAGAGCTGAGGTTTATTTGGCTTATGATTCTGGGACAGCTGCATCTGGCACGGGCCTCAGGCTGCTTCTACTTATGGAGGAAAACTGGCAGATCACATGGCGAGAGGAAGCAAGGGAGGAAGCAAGGGAGAGAGAGAGAGAAGGTGCCAGGGTCTTTTTAAGCAATGAGCTCTCGCGGGAACTAATCCAGCGAGAACTCACTCATTAATCCCTCCTCCCCCAGGGAGAGCATGAATCCATTCATGAGGGATCCGCCCCCATGACTCAATCAGTTTCCAACACTGCCACATCGGGGATCAAATCTCCACATGAGTTTTGGAGGGGACAATACATCCAAACTCGATCAGCTTCCATAGCTTTTTCTTCTGCATAACTGAAGGACTTTTTCTCATTAAATTACCCCCCTCCCTAAATGTATTATAACAGAAGCATTTGCCAGTTTTTCTGCTAACCAGAAATATGGTGGTTTTTCTGGAGTTAATGAGAGTAAGTGGAAGTTGACAGAAGAGAGTGAAGACAGGACAAAGCTGTTGTAAGGCAAAGGATGCAGCCCTGGACAATATGCTGAGATATTTGTCCTCATGAATGTGAAAAGAAATACATAAGAATGGCATTTGCTATGAAGAAAACAAAGGAGTAGCAGTGACAGCAACTAAGTAACCACCATCATGAGAGGAGGGCAACCACTTTGCCTAGGCTACGTAGTTAACCTAGTCTGGTTGTACGAGATGGTTATATTTGATCTGAAATGGGAACGATAGGAAGGAAGCAGCACTGCACAAGAGCCTTCCAGGCAAAGGAACCAGCACATTTGTCATGTTTTTTGAGGTAGAAAGTAGTAGAACGTGGCCAGTGCAGAGCGAGTGTGGAGGTTAATGGTGGGAAATCAGATCAAAGTCGTGGGCAGAGGCCACACCACATAGGGTCCTATAGTCCTGGTAAGGGGACTGCATTTTCTTTGACCACTGGGAGGGGAAAGATTGGGAAGAGAGAGACTCAGGAAGAAGATGTGTCTTCACCTGTGCAAGAGTTGACGGCGTCTGGACTAGGATGGCCATGGTGAAATAAGCCAGTAAGACTTGCTAATGAGGTGGATATGCAGACGAAATAAAGAGAGGAATCGTCAGAGACTTTTAGATTTATGGTTTGAACGAATGAGTAAATGGTGTTGCACTCAATGAAGTTGGAGAAATGAATGGGACAGGGGGGATAGGCTTCCAGAGGAAAAGCAAGAGTTTCATTTTGTACACGTGGGGTTTGAGACACCTGTTAGACCCAGAAGGGAAGATTGCCAAGTGGGCTTTCTTGTGTGTCTGTGAATCTATAGCTTGGGACAGAGGGCTTGGATAGAAATGTAAATTTGGAAGTCATCAGCCTTATGTATGTGTTTTGAGACCAGATAAATGAAGAAGAACCAGCAAAGAAAGTAGCCAGTCATTCTTACATGTTTCCCATCACTTTTTCTTTCCAACATGGTTTGTGTATGGTCCCTTTAGATTGCCATATAGCCTGCTCCTTTGCTAGTCACCAGTTCACAGTAGAATGACACTTTTCCTTAAGGGGCTATGCAGAGCTATTAATAGCCCACATGTCGTCTCCATCTGGTCCCAGCCTTGAACATTTCCTCCTTGTGAGAAATAGCTCTCAGTTCTTATTCACAGCTCCCAAGTAAAGTCCTCTGCCCAAACTCTTCACTCATTAACTGCTTCCCAGAGCCATGTGGTATTTCATTTGCTTTGCATTTCCCCATACATAAATTCACTGGAAGGGTTTGGTCTGTCTTGATTAATTTGACCTTTTAGGCCTAATGAAAAAATCTTCCTCTGAGAGAATTCAGCATTTGCACTTATTGTCTTACCATAGATTTGATCGATGCTTTAAAAAAAAAAATTAACGTATCCCATAAAAACAAGCTCAATATATGAATCTATGCTACAGATCATCTAGTTCCAATATTTGGGTGATATTAACCCTTAAAAGTACAGTTTAAAATTGCTGGTTCACTTCCAGGTGCTTCAGATAATTCAGTTTCTCTCTGTCTCTGTTTCCATCTCTCTCTCTCTCTAGCTATTCTTTTGAAGAATTGTACTGCTTGGAGTTTCTTTCTTGGAGTTCCAGGGCTCTAGTTTCTTTTAGGAAAAGGCAAAACCCTCTCTCACTTTTCAGCATTATCTCAGGAGGGAGGAATTGTCTTTCCCATCCCCACAATCGCTACCGTAAAGCAGCAAAATAAGCTGCTCTCTAAGGAAAGAGACCCATTCCCATTGTCTCAAAAGCAGAATATTAAGGGTAAAAGTTTGAAAGCTGACCTGAGAGAGGTAGAGTGCAGGATCCTCATTCTTTTCAAATAAATTTCTCTCAGCTTTATACGGTTGTCTAATTCCTCAGGAGGTAAATGATTATCCAAAACCTTTAGCCCTTATGTTGCCAACAGGTAGGATTTTATTGGCTCAGTCGTTTAATTTTTAACTTTACTTTTATTGTTGAATTGATAAGCAGATCAAGCTCATGGAATCATCGTCATGCTTCAAGCCCAACTGAGGTCACTTGTATCTTCCCTGATCCTCCAATCCTAATCTATGCCCTGTCTTATAAGGATCCTGATGCCCTGCACGCCTCATTTACAGCACTGTCACCTTCTGGGGTCTCTCAGAGTTATTATAATTTTCATAGGGATGGGCTTATGACTTGTTCCTTTTGAGTCCCTTTTCTATTGTCCCCCTTGTTTAATAG